CTGTGATATGTGTCAGCCGTGTGTACCGGATGAAGATTCTGTCACATTAACAACTACACCGTGGCCATATATTCTAAAAAAAAGAAATAAAACTTTAGAATTCCTTGAAATCCTTTGAAATGAAAACAAGCAATGTCCTTGCTTTCAAGAATTTATTTAAATTTAAATTAAATTACATTTTATGATTCATAATTTAGTTGCGATGTAATTTCTTTAGTGGTTATTATCTCACAGTTAAACGACAAAATGAAAAGAATGATATTAAACGGTAAGACAAGCAGAAAGCAAGTGAGTAAACAAGATTGTAAGAAGGTGTTTACCCGTACGTATATAAACAGCAATGAACAAGTAGAAATCAAAGAAGGCAAGGCAAGAAATAAATGAGAGTGTGAATTTGGTTTAACATTATTCCAGTTATGTCAAGGCGTGTCAACTTAATGTGGGAGAAGAGCCTGAAGTGATGCAGGACTCAGACGTTAACCACCTTGGTGAAACCCACGAGCACGGGTATGGTGCTGACAAGCCTAGAAACATAGTCAGGGCTTAAGCCACGCTCATATAAGCACATCTAATGGACACAAGTCTCACAACAAATTGCGATACGTTCAACAATTGAGCTACCCGTGCTCCTGGGTAAGTGTGTGAGTAAAGACATTACGAAGCAAATAGGAAAGAATGTAAAACAACACAGGAATCAAACTGGTCGGGAAATGAGCACAAAGTAAGTTAATGAGACCAGAAATAAGAAAAGCAAGTGGATATAAGATTCAGGAAGTACGTACGTGGCAAGTAAATAAGGCAAGATGTATGTTTATAAGTAAGGCGATCATTTAGTCAGTAAGTAAAACAACAAGTAATTTTTGTTAAATTTGAAGTTTACACGAGATGCGGCTTTTTCCATTGGATGAGAGGTCGGTCACATGACCGCGAAACTGACGTTCATAAGCGTATGATCGACACAATTTGACGTCCATACCTTTTTCACGAGACCGTGTTCTTGAAATGACGTAAACACTGATGGACTACTTCCACATTCCTGGGGAAACCCCTGGGAATCGTCAAAGGTTTATCTATTTGCAATAAATATGAACATTGCCATAGATAACCTGCTCTAACACAACATTATATACATATTATTTTGTGCATTTGAGGACGTGTAATTGTCAACCTAGGCTAAGCGACACATGAAGGTATGATGTGAAATTAACTATTAAATAATTTCATAATTGTGTATAGCGCTAAAATGCACAAGTCTCGAGCGAGGAATTGATATGTTTCCAGAATTTTGCAAATTACAGCCAACTACGGTTATAACGAACTCAAAGAGACCACTAATTTTAATTCGTTGTATCCGTTCTTCCTTATATGCATATGTACAGCATTCATACAGTAAATGGACGTGACCAATAAATAGTTCGTTTCGTCCGTCAGTTCGTTATAAATGTGTTCATTATAAACGTAGTTTACTGTATATTTAGTTTTTGGACCAACGTTGTGCGGAATAATTTCTTATAGAAATTGAGGGGCCATTTCGTTTTGAATTTGATTAAATAGACAATTTTGCTCAATTGTGCACCCATCCCAGACTTCACACGCGTATTCAAGATGTGGTCTTATGAACATGAGTTGTATCTTACTAAGTGTGTCTCTGCGCAATATATACTTTGACAATCGCGTGGAATTTACCATTCTTGAGGCCATTTTAACAATTGTTTCAATATGATCACCCCATTTTCCATTGCATGTTTTCCCCAAATGTATATGGGCTTCAACTGTTCTATTTTAACACCATCAAAATATAAATTTAACATTTCTGTATTATTTCTTACTTAGAATAGTACTGCTTCGTCTATTCTGGATTGTACTTAACAAACTACTGTTGACCCCCATTCACTCAATGTAATCAAATTTGCGTTTCGTTTCAATTGTTATCAGCTGCAGAAATACCCAGTGACGAGTCATCAGCAAATGTAGACAATGAATAAAAAAAGAACCAATCACTGACCCCTGGGGGGCGCCAGCACCGGGTGTTCTGGGCTTGGAAGTAGCTCCATCCATCCATCATTTACCCATTTATAACACACTGTTCAAGCTTAAACAAAAGACCCCTATGCCAAACACGATCAAAAGCGTTTGAAAATCACAAAAGACCATGTTTTAACTTTCTGTCCTATAAAAGGCTGTACAAATCTGCTTGTATATTTCAATTAACTGATACACAGTCGAATGCCCCGCTTGAAAACCAGACTAGTACTTATATATAAGTTTATTTTCATGAAAATATTTAAACAAGAACATGTAAACAACTCATTCAAATACTTTACCAACACAATTGATGAGTGATACAGGTCCATAGTCTTCAGAGGTTTAGATGGGATCCAGAGGTTTAGATGGGATCCAGAGGTTTAGATGGGATCCAGAGGTTTACATGGGATCCAGAGATGTAGATGGGATCCAGAGGTTTAGATGGGATCCAGAGGTTTAAATGGGATCCAGAGATTTAGATGGGATCCAGAGGTTTAGATGGGATCCAGAGGTTTAGATGGGATCCAGAGGTTTAAATGGGATCGAGAGGTTTAGATGGGATCCAGAGGTTAAAATGGTTCATTAAGTTGTTTATAAAAAGTTGTACATGTTTGATTGGCATCATGATAATTATTGAATAGTTCTGTCCATTTGTTTCGTTATATATATTCTTGAGATCATGCATTGGTTTAAAAGATATGTTTTCTTAATATTAATATTTTCTTAACAGTACACCCCCGCCGTGGATCACGAAAGGTTGCCCACTTTAAGGAAACGTTAACAAACAATTCATCAAGATGGGTCTCAGTGAAACAAACAATTTGATTTTCTTGTAGGTTTTGACTGAGATATGCCAGCTTATATCGTATGCTTCTCGTATTCAGGTGAAAAATAGTTAGTGATTTGTCGTGACAATCGTTCTCGGGCGGAGTAACAATAACACTAGGATGGTTGCGTTAGTGTTTCTAAATTGCGACTTTAAGACACAAAACATGCTAAAACAATGCTAGACTTGCACGATACAGATAGAGAACATGACTATTATATAACTCTAAGACAATCATGTCAATAGTGGACCTAGTACATGCCTAAAAAGTTCGCATGATGCGCAATGAAAAGTCCCGTTTGTCACACGATATTAAACAGCATTATTACCATACACCTGGTGAAGGAGTGCTGATACTCCCAAACGTTGTGTTCTCATAATAAAGAAGTTGACATCCATAAATACTCTCCCCTTACATCATTGCGCGTTATCGAGAGAATGGTAAGATAAGAGAAGCGTGGCACGAGGGGAGAAGTCTATACAGTAAAGTACGGTTATAACGAACTCAAAGGGACTACTAATTTTAGTTCGTTATAACCGTAGTTCGTTATAAGCATATATATAGCATAACTACAGCAAATAGTCGGGACCAAAAAAGTAAGTTCGTTATATCCGTCAGTTCGTTATAACCGTGTTCGTTATAACCGTAGTTTACTGTATTGTTCAATACATGTTTGGACTGTAAAGTCGCAGTTTGGAAGTGCAGGCCTGATGAGATCAGGATCAACTTTCTATTCGTTAAACAAAATCAGCAAAGGCTTCATCGTGTCACTTGAGTGTCTGGCTCACTGATCATTTGATTGTCTGGTTTGTCTACAGACCGCCGTCGTCTGACAGTACTGTGCGGCGTCAGGCAATACAAATTTACCTTTTTATGCAAATTGTATGAATGACAGGTGGTCATTATTTATTTAATAATAATATTTATTCATTATTTAATAATTCATCGTGGTTATATTTAAAAATTGACTTAAAACTTCGAAATGAAAACAATTTTAGGGGACATGTGGCTGCTAATTTATTGAATGTCGGGTTCGACGAGTAGGACAGGACGTGGTTTCTCTTTTCGCGAACATCTGGTGTCAGTATTGTTTTTCAGTGGTCCATTCATATAAATGTCACAGCTATTTCGTCCTTTACGCCAAGTGGAATCTGCTTCGGTGGATAATCAAGACTGGTTATTCCCTGTGTTTGACGTTCTATGTTCACACATCAGGTTATCAGTGAAACGCCAAGCATTCAAGCTGAGAATATGCGAAATACGATATACAGTTGTATAATGATATGCACACTCTTAATTATTTAATATTAAATACATGTCGCATGCATCGCAAGATGAGTCGAGAGGGTTACTATAGTAGTATGCAACATTAAACTGTTCTCTAGATATTGCTATACACTACAGACTACGAAAGGTTATATGGAGGATATTTCACTCGACTCATGAAATATCATTTTTCTCTCTGACAAGAGGGGGGGGGGGGGGGGGGGGATGCTGGGGATGGGGGGTGGAGGAGATATTTCTTCACTTCACTTTTCTTTCGCACTTAAGTATATACTAATTTGGGTTATCTTTGTGAAGTAGACGCGTGAAGATCCGGGGTAGAATAGGTCTTCAGCAACCCATGCTTGCCCTGAAAGGCGACTATGCTTGTTGTCAGAGGCGATTAACGGGATCAGATGGTCAGGCTCGCTGACTTGGTTGATGCATGACATCGATCCCAGTTGCGTTGGTCGATTCTCTTGATGTCAGTCACTGGATTATCTTGTCCAGACTCGGTTCTTTAAAGACCGCTGTCTTGTAGCTTGGATATTGCTGAATGTGGCGTTAAACAACACACAAATAAACTTTGTGAAGTATTGATTCTCCTACAGAAGAGTATATGATATTCGTGATGTACCTTCAAGACCAGGTTCATACCCCAGAGCTGGGCAACCTGAATGGTCAGCTGTTTTGCTGAAACAGGAAACGTTCAATGATGTCGCCTACAAAATGAGTATATGATAATATAATACTCGCATCACCAGTTTGCACGTTAAGCTCGCAGAGATGCATCATGTAGAATTAATACAACCGATTCTTCTAGGTATTCTATTTCCATGTCCATGTTTGTATTCAGTGACCTCACATCTATGTTTGTGTCTCCAGGGTGAAATGGTACGACAGTGACTGCAACTCCAAGGCCGCTCTCACTTCCGCTGTCGACGCCAAGAACATGTTTGACCCCCATCTCTTCCTGGGACCCCCGTGTTCCGCAGGTAGGATCAGCTATATAGAGGGACATCCGTGTTACGCAGGTAGGATCAGCTATATAGAGGGACCTCCGTGTTTTGCAGGTGGGATCAGCCATATAGTGGGACCCTCGTGTTCTGCACGTAGGATCAGCTATATAGAGGGACCCCCGTGTTCCGCAGGTAGGATCAGCTATATAGTGGGACCTCCGTGTTCGCAGGTAGGATCAGCCATATATAGGGACCCCGTGTTCTGCAGGTAGGATCAGCTATATAGTGGGACCTCCGTGTTCCGCAGGTAGGATCAGCCATATATAGGGACCCCGTGTTCTGCAGGTGGGATCAGCTATAGAGTGGGACCTCCGTGTTCCGCAGGTAGGATCAGCTATATTGTGGGACCTCCGTGTTCCGCAGGTAGGATCAGCTGTGCAGTGGGCCCCCTTTTTTACATGTTTTTGGATAGCAAAACGTCAAACCATCCTGTAACCCACTGTCGAAGGTTTAGGAATCAGGCCGTTACAGACGGAAACACAATACGTTTACTATATCCCCCCCTATTTCAAGGTATGCGCCCCGTGGCTCAGCTGGCGTCCCACTGGAACATCCCCGTGTTTGGCTGGGTCTCCAACGACCACGACCTGAGGGACAGGGACATCTACTCCACTCTTATCAGACTGCTCGGACCCCTCAACCAGTTCTGTGAGTACGCATGGAGATCTGTACGCATAGTTAGTTTATCTGTCTTTTTGTCTTTCTTTCTATCTGTCCGTCATTCATTCTTTCATTCATTCATTCAATTCCCAGTGTGCATGTGCTTAAGTAAAAAGACAGTCCTTTGTAATCTACAACCCACGGAACAAACACAGACGTTACAATGTACGTTTCATTTGTTTACCCCACGTTCTGTGCGCAGCTACGACAATGCGCTACGTCTCAAGTGTGTTTAACTGGAAGCGTTACGCCATGATCCACGACAAAGACGAATCCTACAAGTCCGTGTACGAAGCTCTGGCTGGTGACACCACCAACTTCTTCACCTCCACGCACTCTGTGACCCCGAGTATGGACGATGACCAGATCAAAGAGATCTTCCTCCAGGTCAAGAAGTACGCTAGAAGTGAGTGCCTCTTAAACCTAAGAACAGCATCGCTAAAACTAACGGAGACCTAATTTGTTTGTTTGTTGTTTAACGCCGTACTCAGCAATATTCCAGCTGTGTGACCACTGTCTGTAAATAGTAGAACCTGGAGCAGATAATCCAGTGATTGACATCATGAGCATCGATCTACGCAATTGGGTTACGATGACGTGCATCAACCAAGTCAGCGAGCCTGACCACCCGATCTCTTTCGTCACCTCTGACGATAAGTATGGGTTGTTGAAGACCTATTCTAATCTTCACGAGCGGACGGAGACCTAAACCTACTTAAATATTACAAAGTAGACACAATTTATGGGTAACAACTTCTTTGTTATACTGTAATAGCGACGTTTTGGTATAGATCCTCATACAGTCTTGTTTGACAAGGGTGTAAGGATCTATATCGAAACGTTGCTATTACATTATGATATAGAAGTGTAATCCATAAATTGTGTCAACTTTGCCATCTGTCAACTTTTCAGAAATTCGGCTTGTAAGAGTGTTTACTATTTGTTATTCAACTAAGATTAATATTAAGCACACAAGTCAGCGAGGATCAGCTGTAGGAGAGGTCTCTTCACTCAACGTACGTGAGAAGTACAGCTGTGGCTCTGTAGCGTGCCGATGTTGTAGGACGTATCGTGATGTATGTCCCATTATCTTCCCAGTCATCATCTTCGCCGTGCCGTGGTTGACGATGAGGAAGTACATCCTGGTGGCTCACCGACTGGGGCTCACGACGGGGGAGTTCGCCTTCATCTGCATCAATGGAGACGTGAGTCTGTTATTCATTCTCGACGACTACGACGACGATATCAAGCTGTCTCAAACAGAGTTTCTGGACAAAGTGTAATCGGTCGAATCGTCAGGACCGCACATTGCACAAATAATAACGTCTGTTAAAATCGCAATTATGCTCTCAGAAAAATAAATAGTTTCATAATAAATACATGCAAGATTTTAGTTTTCTATCATATCAATTATTTAAAATGAATCAATAGAACTTGGACTTTCAGTAATCATATTCAATGTTAATTATTTTTAAGTAATTTTATTGACCACATTTTACCTTTGTTCAGGTGTATTCGGGCGAGACGCTCGAGGCAGATGTTTTATCTGACCGTGTGTGGCGACGAAACGATTCCTTTGACGAAGAGGCCAAGTTTGCGTTTGAATCTGTCATCCATGTAAGTGTCTATCTGATGTGGGTTTTGTATAACTCCTGAAGGAAAACAATTGTAGTAATGACAATACCTTTTAATAAACAACATTCTGAGGTTTCATATTCTAACACCGACAGTTTATAGCTGTGTCAGATCGAAATCAAGTTGAATCCCATTTCTGAATCTTTGGTCAGCACCATAATGTTGGTAGTGTATTTGTCCAGAGTGACATGTGTCTAAGTGGCCTCCGGCATAAGTCATGACATGACATTGATGAAAGTGGCGCCACTCGCTCGCTCATTCACTCACTCACTCACTCACTCACTCACTCACTCTTCCCTCTAGGTCATCCTGGTTGGTCAAGAACAACAGACGTACAAAAAGTTTAAAAACCATGTGCAGAAGATGAACACACTGACTGACGAACTCTGGGACATCCCTCAAGGATCAGACGTAGGTATCTTCACATTACAATCAATTAACTCCGGATAAAGTCAACACGGATATAACAAACCGCCGGATATAACAAACACAGTCCTTCGAGGGCCACAGTCAACGCTATTTTTCACATCATTAACCAAGTTTGGATGTAAGGTACAAAGGTCGGCCAAAACGTACGGACTTCTAACAGCCATGGCCAGAGAGCCATAATCAACGCTATTCTTCATGTGAATATGAAAGTTTGGATTATACGATCTGATTTTAATGGCCATGGTGTTCTTAACCGATTTTACGGTAATTAAAGATTCAATTTAATTAATGTGGTTGTGTCGAAGTCAACTTAATGGCTCGTCCCTGGTTTGCCTGGTAAGGTGGGGTTAATTACAGGACGTCGCGATGAAGCTGGCGAGTGCGGCATTAAACAACATTCAGTATATCTATCCACACACGCACACACTCACTCACTCACTCACAAAGAGAAACATAGCAAACGGTACTCTGCGTATATCATTGTTAAGGGGCGTGTGGGTGGTGTAGTGGGTTAAGTGTGGGTTTGCAACTCCAACGACCCTGGTTTGATTCCAGCATGGCAAAATGGATACCTTCTTGGTGAAAGGTTTCCGTTTTCCGTCATGCTATTGCTGAATATTTCAAACACGCTGAAACACTATAATGACTAAAATATCTTGGTGTAAAACCCAACTCATCTAGCGCAATGGTTTATGGAGAATGTGGTAGGTTTCCTCTCGTTATAGATTCACAGCTGAAAGTCATCAAGTACTGTCTGAAACTCCTTAAAATGAATTCATCGAGATACCCAAGGAAATGTTACAATATGTTGATGTTATACGATAGGAATGGAAAGACTAAGTGGGTAACAGATGTGAAAAAATGTTATTTAATAGTGGTTTTGTTGGTATTATCAATTTGTACAATCTGAAAGTGTGTTTACCAATTCTTTTCAACAGAGACTAAGAGATATTTATCTGCATTCGTGGTCATTTTCGTTGACATTATCGATTTTTTTTTTTATATTATAGAATGTTAAAAACTCATATGTTCACTGAACAGTATCTGTTTTATGTAAATATAAGGAAATACCGCAATTCATTGGCAAGATTTCTATGTTCATACCATGATTTATGCAACGAGAGTGGGAGATACACACAAACTCCGGGGTCAGAACGATTATGTAAAATGTGTAATAGCCAAGATATAGAGGATGAATGTCACTGTTTCTTGTATGTCAATTGTTCTCCACTGTGGGAAAAACGTATATTCCTGTATACTACTTTAATATTGTGAAATTCCGACAATTGTTAAACAGTCTAGATAAATTAATAATACAAAACTTAGCCATGTATATATTCCACGCACTGTCATATAGAACCAATAATTGTTAAAATTGTGTGCAACATCTCTTTCACATGTACAATAGGCCTGGAGCCTCTTAAGTGCTTGAATAAAGATTGATTGATTGATTGACTAATATATAACTAAACCCTCCATCCCCATAGCAACTAGACGCCTACGCCCCGTTTCTGTACGACGCCACCCTGCTGTGGGCGATTCTGGTCAACAGGTCGATGGTAGCTGGGGAGAATCCTACCAACGGTACCCACATGTTCTCCATGGCGCAGGGAGTACAGACGACAGGTAACTCAGTGTGTATAGCTTGTTTTACAGATCCCCGACCAAAGAAAACAGGAACATAGAAAATAATTCCAGTTTTCTGTTTTTTTTATTACCACTGAAGTTTATGATGACACTTTCGAAAATAATATCCCAAACTGTTTCCCTGCCTGACCCAGTCAAGTGAAGCAGAAAATCTCACCCGACATGCATCATCACGAGTCGTTGAAAGTCGAGTGACAAATCATTCTTCACGAGAAGAATGGATGACAAGATGGATGACTTCAACTTCCCAATAGTCAACGTTTCCTTTATGTCGAGCAATATTCCTGCAGCGCGAACCCTTGCTGTCTACATTTCCCAACTTTTGACGTACAATCGAACATGCTCTTTCTACCAAAATTTCAAAGAGCGTCATACGACTCTTGCTCAGAAGTTGTTTGCTCAAAGTTACAACATTCAAGGCCTCAGTAAAGCTTTCAAAAGGTTTCATTGTTGACATCTGGAGGACATTTCTAAATTTGGCGCATCAGTGACAAGAATGATGTCCGATGCAATTCCCTATCTTGATGTGTACCATATGCTCCTTGCTTTTTCAGGTAAACAATTGGCTTGCCTTTGCATGTGTTTGATATTTTATTCTCGTCCTATCGACCTCAGTTTTTGTTTGAAAAACTATTTTTTTCGAACACCGACCTTAGGTTTGTAACGAAACATCCGGAAAGGGAAAAGCTAATTAAAAAGGCCAAAGATTCTTGGAGACACGTGGACCAATGACTGTCCCTGTGTATAGTTGTGTAGAGTGTGCTGGGTGAGACATGTCAATTTTCGTCGACAGGTGTGACGGCTAATTTGGTTCTAGACAGCTTCTGTGACCGACTGGTTAACATCTGGTTGCTGGACATGCAGGAAGACGGCAACTTCACCACCATCACCAAAATCTACAACACCCTCACCGGCGGAATGGTCTTCTCGGTGAGTCAGAGCAACTATTATCAAGCTTCAGTACTGTACTATTTTCGTTTGTGAATTATGTTTGTTCATTGGACACAGCCATTAATGACCTTCCTTCGCTTCTTCCAGCAAATGGAGAAGAAAATCAGTGCGCGATGGCCGGACGGGAAGGTGGGCCAGGAAAACGCGCCACCTGATATACCCAAGTGTGGCTTTGAGGGAGAGAAGTGCAAGATAGGTAAACGACATTCTCTCAAACTTGTAAGACCGCCTCCGTGGTCTAGTGATAGATTCTCCGCCCGGAGAGACATTTTTGGAAAAATAAATCTGGTTAAAATGCTGTTTTAATGAAACTTCTAATTTGTATCTGTCCATCTGCTGCCATGACTGTCTCCGTGGTCTAGTGGTAGAGCATCTGAGTGTGGAAGGTTCGGGGTTCGATCCCCGGCCGCGTCATACCAAAAGACGTTAAAAGATGATACTTGTTGTTACCCTGTCTGGCACTTGGCATTAAGGCGCTAAAACAAGGACTAATCGGCTCTTAGTCAGTATACTGTGTCTGAGTGGGGTATTCATATTTAACTGCGGCACGGTATCTCGGTGAGCTGGCGCGATATATCGGCATCAGTCCGGACTAGTACACAGCCACACACACGTGCATACACGTCGCTGCAACTGCAATAATCTTGGACGCGACGTTAAACTTCATTTCACCTCACCTCATCGCTTACATGTTAAACTCTGTATACAAACAGGTCTGTGTAATTATTGAAGTATGTGGTTTCTACAATCATACGTGGATGGAAAAGCCTAGTAGTTAAAGCTTTGGCTTCAAATCCCAACATGGTGTCTCTGGTGTCACTAAATCCCTTCTCACTCACTCACACAGACCCGGCTGTATAACAATACGTCTTTAATGCGTAGTAGGATATATCGTTGCTAATGGTGGCAAGGAACCACCATATTTTCTTTCAAGAAATATCACCTTCTAATTTCAACACATTTCAACGTTTAAATACCTGATATAGCCGCGATATGTTATGTCGGTATTAGCCAATGATTACGAACGTATAATTACTATAATATATGTGGTGTACTTATATTACATACATCATTGCTCCGGGTTCTCGTCAGTGTTTCTGAATCTACTGCATCTATAGTGTCTAGTCTCAATGTTTACACAGAACCAGACTCTCATGACCTCGGCTACGCTGACACCATCACGGGGGCGGCAGCAGGGTCGTCAGTCGTCCTCATTATCGCCATCGCCGTGCAGGTGTCACTCAGGTGAGCATTGCAACATCGCCTACTGTACCCCTGCTCAGAAATATTCATTCCTGACTGCACAAAGAGCATTTCAACATGTGTGTGTACGTATTTATTTATAAAAAGGTGACGTAATGTTGTCATGGTGTTTTAGACGTTACCGACGTCGCCGGCAGCTGGAGAGTATGTTGTGGCAGGTGAAGTTTGAGGAGATCGACTTCGTCACAGCCATTCTCTGTGGCAGCGTCAGGGTAGGTAACTCCCATCACCTTGTGTATACCGTTAATGTGGCTGATTCTGTGATTCGATAACGATGGCCACGTTGTTCTCAGTTGCTAAACACCCCCACCACTCCCCCCACCCTACTATCCACGTCTAATTCACAAATCATTTCACACACACACACACACACGCACACACACACGCACGCCGCACGCACGCGCGCATGTCACTATATAAGTGACAGAGTCTTGAACGCGACGATAAATTCCGTTTCACCTCGCCTCATTTGATATATTTACCACCCCCGTTATTACCAGTTATCCGTCATTGCAGTAATTTAATTAACCGGTATTAAACTATCGCATGGCAGTGCAACCTCTATCTACCAAGTAGGTAACACACACATACACACACGCACACGCACACGCACACGCACACGCACACACACACGCACACACACCACCCTTTAGAGTGTATACCTTTTTATACAGCGTGCTCGTTACCTTTCTCCAGGGAGTGTTCGCTCGCACATACAAGGATACGATTTGTGTCCCCATTGTGATTGGAATATTGCTAACAAGACACTTACTCTCTGTTCACATCTTCAGTCCAGCTTCAAGAATCTCGCCCGCCGACGCAGCTCGAAGAACGTGAAGGGTGTGTCTAAGACACGCAATGTTGGGAGTTCTGGCGATTCCTACACAGACTCACCAAGGTCACATCACTGCACGGAGACTGGCACCACCATGTTTGGGTCAGTCGCCTACATCAGAGGTAACGCATCAGCGCATAGAGTACCGTCATGTAGTACCTTGATAGAGTACCGTGATATAGCACCGCGGTAGTGTAGTCTGATAGAGCAAAGTAATAATGTACCGCCATAGAGTACCGTCATACAGTACTGTCATATAGTTCCGTCATATAGTACCGTGATATAGCACCGCGGTAGTGTAGTCTGATAGAACAATGTAATAATATACCGTCATAGAGTACCGTCATACAGTACCGCCGTATAGTGTCGTCATATAGCACCGCGGTAGTGTAGTCTGATAGAGCACTGTGAAGGCGTACCGCCACCGTGTACCGTCATATGGTACCGTCTTATAGTACCGTGACATAGTACCGTCATATAGTACCGTGACAGTTCCGAGATAGTAATAATTGTCCATGTTCTCAAATGGGAACACGTCTCGGACATTTGGGCAGCAACTGTCATTCAAGTCGTCGAAGTACTTCCTTGGATGTCTGCAAACGGACATTTTTGTTGTGTGTATCTGAAAAAAAGAAGATGTTAGAGCATTTCGATGATGATAGGTTAACGGTTCGTGGACTGACTAAGTCACTGTTTCGTCTCCAGGGAGCCTGGTGTCTGTCAAGAGGATGTCCAAGAACATCGTCAGTCTGACCAAGGAGGTCCTGCAGGAACTGAACCAGGTGAGAACAGCAGTGCTTAGTCTACATTGTGGCGGTGAGGTAGTTTCGCGGGTAAACGTTTGCTCACCACGCCGGAGACCGGGTTCTATTCTCAGCATGGTAACAACTTGTGCAGCCCATTTCCTACGTGATCTTGATTGAATATTGCTGAAAGCAAGGTAATCCAATGTCCACACACTCACTCACCCATTTCCTCCCACACGCAACCACCCACCCATTACCCACTCACTCACTGACACACTCACTCACTCACTTACTCAAATAGAATACATTTATACATCTATTTCACCTAGTTGATAGGAATCTTTGCCATGTAGTCTATTAGGATGGTTAACGCTGTGTCCATCCACTCACACGTCACAAGCGAGTCCTCTGACCATATACATTGTGTTACAGCTGATGGAACTCAAGAATCAGAACGTCTGTGCATTTGTTGGCGCATGCGTAGATCCAGGAAGGATTCTACTGTTGTGGGAGTATTGCCCTAAGGGCAGTTTGCAGGTAGGCCATTGAGAACCATATTGATTTGTTTGTCCATTTGTCGTTTAACGCCACACTCGAGTATGAACCAGACTATCCAGTGATTGCCATCATGAGCATCGATCTACGCATTTGGGATACGATGACTAACCAAGTCAGCGGGCCAGACCGCGCGATCCCGTTAGTAGCCTTTCACGACAAGCATAGTCGCCTTTTACGGCAAGCATAATGACAACTTATCCACGTTGCTAGGTGATTTCCAAACATATACGAAACGTTAACGCCAGAGAACGACTAGTCTGGAGTATCGCTGAATCAGATTCCACTGGGCGAAAAGACAAAACAGCGGTGAAAATCGTATGACTGGATATCACTGAAAATCAGAGATGACACTGGGTGTTCGCGAAAAGCGTTAAGCATAGTCTCCAGTTCCTGGTCTCCTGGCATGGGTGCCCAATCACCTTTCTCCCATCACTGTTATAGTTGGCTGCTTCACACGTCATAGTTCGACCCACAGAATTTTGATTCGTGCCCCCTTGTCTCATATTGCTTCGACATTATTAAGCCGAGTAAAACCTTCTCCTTTACATGTTATTGCTGACGTCTTCTCAAAGACACAAAGCCTGTTTCTACGCCATTGAACAGTACTACAAATATATGTTCAGCAGATCCTCTCACATTTCCTGTCCTAATTCTTGTCAACTCTTGATGTTCTCAGGATATCATCTGGAACACGAACATCAAGCTGGATCAGCTCTTCAAGTTCGCCCTGTGCCAGGACGTCGCCAAGGTAGGAAGTAAAGACTGGTAGGGTATCAGGTTCAGCACACTGAAATTTGTAAACCCGTTAAGAACAATGAAGAAGGTTTCAAAACCTTAAATGCTGAGCACAAATCTGGATCTCTGAGGATTCTCTGTCGCGAAGCTCGACATTTAGTGGTTGGAGTTCCCTGCCATGTGCCATCGTGTCGCCAATTGGAAGAGCACATGTGGACACAGATCATGTTATCGGACATTAATGTTTCCAGTAATTCAAGAGGATTTATGAATTAAACAACTGTTCTTCATTTAATAATGCACACCGACAAGGTTTTCCTGACAAATGCGCAAACTACAAATAATACCTCTCTCTATAATACCTGAGGACCGCCTCTATGGTCTTGTGGTAGAGCATCTGCCCGTTACTACCAATATTTATCCATGTGTCATTCATCCACAGGGTCTGGAATACATCCACAAGAGTTCGGTAAACTACCATGGCAACCTGAAAAGTTCCAACTGTGTCGTGGACAGTCGGTGGACATGTAAACTCACGGACTTCGGGGTCCCTAAAATCAGGTCGATGGACAAGGCGTCGATACCCTTCGAGGAGAACGCAGACAGTGAGTGCTGTATGTCCCGGATGTGGCATGGCGTAGTCCCTGTTCAGTGCGGCTACTGCAATAGATGGTTCCCTATGTGGTTCATTAATTAAAGGACCTGGACAGCGTCTTGTCCTATTTACTGAGACAACTTCACACATCTATACAATGTCATGTTTAACTGAGTTCATACAAAAATGATTCAATAATGATTCTGATCTTAGTGGTAATGGTTATTTTATGTTTATTGATACACATGAATATTGATGATGTAATGATGATGATGATGGTGATGATGATGGAGGTGGTAATGATGATGGTAATGGTGATGGTAATGATGATGAAGATGACAACGCTACAACTTCTACTACTATGACGACTACTCCTACTACGACTACTACAACTACCATTACTACTACTACTACTACTACTACTACGCATAAAAATAATCACCATCACTATCATCACCATCATCAAATAAGTCTGGTAACTAAATCTTATATAAACCTCCTTGCAGAGGAACTATGGACGGCCCCTGAGATTCTGCGAGCTGAGAGGAACGTGGAGTTCCAGAAGGCGGACATATACGCCGTGGGCATCATCATGAAGGAGGTGTTCACCCGGTCCGGCCCCTACACCGAGTACCCATTCTACTGCTCCTCAGGTACGTCCTTACTCTGCTAGGTCCATACTCAGAGAACCCCCTTACTCTGCTAGGTCCATACACAGAGTACCCCCTTACTCTGCTAGGTCCATACACAGAGTACCCCCTTACTCTGCTAGGTCCATACACAGAGTACCCCCTTCCTCTGCTAGGTCCATACTCAGAGAACCCCCTTACTCTGCTAGGTCCATACACAGAGAACCCCCTTCCTCTGCTAGGTCCATACTCAGAGAACCCCCTTACTCTGCTAGGTCCATACACAGAGTACCCCCTTCCTCTGCTAGGTCCATACTCAGAGAACCCCCTTCCACTGCTAGGTCCATACTCAGAGTACCCCCTGCCACTGCTAGGTCCATACTCAGAGTACCCCCTGCCACTGCTAGGTCCATACTCAGAGTACCCCCTTCCACTGCTAGGTCCATACTCAGAGAACCCCTTCTTCTGCTCCTCAGTTAGGTGTATACGGTCGCTGGCCTACGTGTCCGTCAAGCAGACTGCGGTCTTGGTTTAGTATTCAACAACAAAATTAACCACAAGCGTAACATCAAGCCAACTCTAGGGGTCGAAGTTTATAAAGTTTATCAACTAATAAGAAGCAAATTGTAATCGTTATTTCTCAGAACCGAACTACAGTGAAACCACGTTTAGAAACAGCGCCAATACTTTAAGCTACCTGTTGTTTGCAACAAGCCGAGCGAAGTATCAGCAAATCTCAGTAACCCTTCTGTTGGGACGACAGGAAATGGTTTGTCTGTACAGTGTTCTTGTTGTTGGTTGATGTGACACAGGCGTTGTGACGTGACAGTCACTCCCCATATCCTGGACATGGTCTTGTGGAATACCGCCGACTAGAACTAATGATATATCGTAGTTGAAATGCCTCGATTGATTCAGTTATATGGAGTGTCACCCGTCACGTCTAATGCCCGGGTGCGATTGTCCACAGTAATGCAATATTTGAATATAAATTGTCAATGCAGTAAAATAACCAGCCTAGAGTTTCTGCCGGAACAGAGTCCACTTGGCGTAAAGGGCAAATATTTGTGTAAAATTATATATATGGACCAATCAGTGATGACACCAGGTGTTCGCGAAAAGGGTAATTTGAAGCCCTCAGCGTGACTGAAACAAGGAATAGCGTCGTAAAACAAAACGCACTCACTTACTTCTTATATTTCCCCCCAGAAATCGTCACTAAAGTTCGGGAACCTTCGACACAGTCTCGGTTCCGTCCGTCAGTTGCACGTGAGCTTCGTCAGCATCCTGACCTAGCGGCCCTGATTGAGGATTGCTGGAGTGAGGACCCCAGTGCTCGTCCCTCCGCCCCGAGGGTGGTCAAGTCTCTCACGAGGATCAACCCGTCCAAGTAGGTCCACTGACAATGGAGGATTAGTGATGAATTAGACAATGACATTTTGTCATTCCTGTTGTATAGGTTATCATTCGATGTGTGGCAGAGATGTGGTACGGGATTATAGGCCATGCACGGTGTCAGGAGTCAGCCAGACAATATGCTTTGGTTGTAGCCCATACGAACATACTGACATACTGTTATGTCAGGTGAGAACATACCTACGGATAACACTTGGTGTATGCTATGGTTGTACAGACACATGACCAAGACCTAACTTATTATGTATTCTATGATTGTTCAGACGCATGACCAAGACCTGACGTTGTATGTATTCTATGGTTGTTCAGACACATGTCCAAGACCTGACTTGTGATGTATTCTATGGTTGTTCAGACACATGTCCAAGACCTGACTTGTGATGTATTCTATGGTTGTGCAGACACATGTCCAAGACCTGACTTGTGATGTATTCTATGGTTGTGCAGACACATGTCCAAGACCTGACTTATTATGTATTCTATGGTTGTGCAGACACATGTCCAAGACCTGACTTGTGATATATGCTATGGTTGTACAGACACATGACGATGATCGACAACATGATCGCCATGTTGGAGAAGTATGCCAACCATCTGGAGGAGCTTGTGGCGGAGAGGACGAGTGAGTTGGACGCGGAGAAGAGGAAGACGGAAAACCTGCTGTACAGGATGCTGCCACAGTGAGTGACACGTGGGGACAAGGTATAGGGGGAGGGGGAGGGGGAGGGGGGAATGGTTGACCCTGCTGACTAAGATGGAAAAAGAGGGGTTAAGGGAGGTCGGGCGGATTAGGACGGAGACAGAAATCCTACTGTAGAGGATGTTGTATTCCTTTTCACATTGACACCGTCATAAACTAAATGTAGATTACGTTCCTCAAGACACAAGCTCCTCTTCATCTTTCTGTAGCATTCAATCTGTGTGTAAGAATCTTTCAGTGTTATGCTTGCTCATGACCTCAATAATAGAACTAGAAAACGACAAATTATTATTTTATTAATTCTTTGCTTTTTAACATTGAGCAAGTGGATTCGTTATACATGTAATATGAAATGGTTTGCTTACGACAAGACAATGCTTAGTGTTCACTGTTATTTCCCCAGGTCCGTGGCCGAGGACCTCAAGTTGGGTAAACCAGTGAAGGCGGAGATGTTTGACCAGGCTACGATATACTTCTCAGATATAGTGGGCTTCACCAAGATCTGTGGCGAGAGTACACCCATTGAGGTAATAGTGTTAGCATCCCCAGTCAGATACTTCTCAGATATAGTAGGCTTCACCAAGATCTGTGGCGAGAGTACACCCATTGAGGTAATAGTGTTAGCATCCCCAGTCAGATACTTCTCAGATATAGTGGGCTTCACCAAGATCTGTGGCGAGAGTACACCCATTGAGGTAATAGTGTTAGCATCCCCAGCGAGATACTTCTCAGATATAGTGGGCTTCACCAAGATCTGTGGCGAGAGTACACCCATTGAGGTAATAGTGTTAGCATCCCCAGTGAGATACTTCTCAGATATAGTGGGCTTCACCAAGATCTGTGGCGAGAGTACACCCATTGAGCTAATAGCGTTAGCATCCCCAGCGAGATACTTCTCAGATATAGTAGGCTTCACCAAGATCTGTGGCGAGAGTACGTCTGTTATGCGCTTAACCCAATACACGAGGTGAATGCTCACAGCCCTACATAAACTATGGGAAAACGCTGCTGATGCCACGCCATAGATACAAGACAAATAGATGTGGCAGTTGGTGTTGGTTTTAGATTTGATAAAAGAGTCAGAACAGGAATGTCTTGAGACGGGAATGGAAAATTGTTGCAGTTTCTGCTTCTTCCACATGTGATGGAAGATGGTTCCATAGAGCTGGAGCATTTAGGCAGATTTGATTGTTTCCCAAAAATTAGAATATGTTGTATGATTCTGGCTTATTCTTTGAATATAAATTGTGCAATTATCATATAAACAGCGAACTACAGTGTTGAAATATGCCGAATATACCGAGGCTTGTGCGTGTACAGTATATAGGCGCACCTCGTTAATCCCCGCGACAATCGGAATTTTCTACAGATAAACACTTGTCCGACCATGGAATAAATAATCGATTAACGAACCGATGCGTCGACATAACAGCGTACCCACCATCGCCACACCACGTACAGTGGAGACATAGTGTGGACCGTGAAGATCCGGGGTAGAATAGGTCTTCAGCAACCCATGCTTGCCGTAAAAGGCGACTATGCTTGTTGTAAGAGGCGACTAACGGGATCGGGTGGTGAGGCTCGCTGACTTGGCTGATGCATGTCATCGCATCCACATTGAGTGGATCTAAGCTCATGTTGTCAATCACTGGATTGTCTGGTTCAGACTCGATTATTTACAGACCGCTGTCATATAGCTGGAACATGCTGAGTGCGGCGTTAGACAACAAGTAAGCAAGGAAACAAACGCTAAGGCTGTCTATTCTATTTGCTCAATGGGCGTCACGTATAACTACAATGACAATGGGTATCATGATTGTATTGCAGGTTGTGAATCTCCTCAACTGCCTCTACACGCTGTTTGATGACATCATCACGCGCTATGACGTGTACAAGGTACGTCCATCAGTCTCTAGGGATCAGACATTCATCCAACAATAAATCAGTTTATATTTTCATCCCGCAAGCGTCACTTCAAACACCAGCCTCATTTAAGTTCATGAATCAAGTCATCCCTCCCGCGCCACGCATCGCAAGCAGCATGATGGTGGTCCCGGGATATCCCTTATTGTCTAGAAAAAAAGTTTTTAAAACATAATACGCCTCCATATTGAAAATACTTGATGGAACTGCCTCAAGTACCTTAGTGACGTGGACACGATCCTCACGTGCTCATATTGACGATGATTATATTCAGTTGATGGAGTTTTGCTATATGTACAACTTGAAGTGAGTGAGTTTGGTTTTACGCCGATTTTAGCAATATACCAGCAAGTATACCACGACCAGAAATAGGCTTCACACATTGTACACTTGTTGGGAATCGAACCCAGGCCTTCGGCTTGACGAGCAAACGCCTTAACTACTTTATCTTAGCTGGCATTTGTATGTCCCGATCATTTGCCTTCAGACGAGATAATGACATGTTGGGGACTAAATTTCACAGAGGCGTGCGAACACCACTCGGGTCCACAAGGGTCCACTCACTTTAAACCGTGTAACGCCAGATCCTACCATTTTCCACGACATGTGAGCGCTTCTGACCAGAAATTAGGTATACACTTCGAATTGAAGACAAAACAAAGAGACACCTCTTGAACTATTCTATAAGGTCCCCGACTGCTACTGTGTCATACGGAGACTAGTTCCAACATGGATTCCAGCCAGTCCAGCCGATGTCCTTATGGACTGGGTCGAGCCGAGTGGTGCGCACACAGATTTGGCGCTCATGAAAGACATCACCAAGTGTAGCCCCTCGAGCGAGCAACGGTTCGGCCGAATAGGCGTATTGTGTAAGCTTGCGTACCACTGAGTCATGCGTTTAAGGACACAACTATATCAGCTGTCAGAAGGAGGCATTCATGGGGTTCCCTGTCCAGCCATCAACTAGGATGTTATTTTCTCGTAAAACATAAACATTAAAATATTAGGAATAATATTTGCATATACAATGCTCGCAACGCTTCCGTTAAGCTAAGGATCCTGAGACATACCAAACATGGCGACAGCGAAGTAACGTGTCGAGAATGTTTAATTTGAACATTGTATGTATCGAGGTCCAAGGTTTCTTAAGACCTGTTTGAACACTGATATGCTTAGGGCAGCGATAAAAAAAAAAATCGGTTTGTTTTACGGACGTACCCCGTGGGGATGCCGGGTTAAAACTAATGCTCAGGAGACTACAAGGACTGGGTGGGCAGGTGACTTGGTTGATTGAATGTCATTTGGTTGATTGCATGATATTGTACCAATACATTGCTCATATTTATAATCACTGGTTTGTCTGGTCGATTACGTACCGGCCTCCGTGATGTAGCTGAATGACGACATAACAACAAACCAATGAACACCCACGTCACAACCTTACTGCTTCTAGGTGGAGACAATCGGGGACGCCTACATGATAGCTAGCGGTCTGCCGATGAGGAACGGCGACAACCACATCAAGGAGATCGCCGACTGTGCCATGGACATCCTCGCCTCCACCGCCACCTTCACCATACCTCATCTACCAGACAGACCCCTCAAGATACGTATAGGTCAGTAGGGAGGGGATACAGGGGGTCCTTCAGCTAAACGTCCCATTGTCACTGGACGGGAGTTCTTTGGTGACCCTGATGAGGCCTCATTACCCAGGATAAATATATTTATATAATAGATACAGTGAAACCTCAACTGTCTGGAAATCCCGCATTGCGGACGATTTGTCAATGTGTTCAAAGGAGTAATATAGACCAGTAACTCGTTCATCCGGATATTGTTTATCCGGATGAATTCAATAGGAAAGGTTGAATGGATTAACGGGGTCCGGATTATCGGTGTTTAATGTATATCTGACTAATATCCTGTCGCTTTGTTACATATCACTGAACAACCTTAAATGAATAAATATGGAAAAAATAAATTGATTAATTGATAAACAGTTCAAGGTACCCTCTTTATGGTCATGGGACCCGCTTGCATGAGGGCAACTACTGAAAGTACAGGTTGAAGTACTGGTGTAGTATCGGTATATGGTCTCTGGTGTAGAGTTACGACGGCTTTGTGCAAGCGGGTCCTTTAAATATGGAATGGCTATTATCACACCTTATGTGGAGCACGACCTTTGGCACATGACAAGCTGTATTTCTTCTCTTCAGGAATCCACACAGGGTCGGTGGTTGCGGGAGTTGTTGGTCTAGCGATGCCTCGGTACTGTTTGTTCGGAGACACGGTCAACGTGGCCTCCAGGATGGAGTCGACCGGATTCCGTAAGTTCCATTGACTTCTTTGTTATTGAGAGAGAGAGGCAGCTCTGTAAAACTGCCCACATAGATTATACTTCAATCATTCAGACTGATTTTCGAGTAATTAGATCTGGAAAATGAAACTTTTCTTGATGATCCTTTAGATTCATGTCTAGATTTAAGCATTCAGAGTCTGGTTAGAAGAGGTCGCCAACACTCTACTGTTAGAGAACTAAACTGGATCGAGTGGAAAGGATCGGTGACTTGGTGACCGTGTGGCACCGATTCCTGGCGGCGTGGAACCTTGCTCATAATATCAAAGACCAGAATGCAGGTCCAGCTACAGACCGCCGTGAAACAATGAAATAGACAATACTAGGCTCAATGACATTTACATAAACATATTAAATGGACAACTGTTTATTTATTGTGAACTCTGAACTTAATATGTGACCCTGAAGACTGAATGTTTCTGTTTCCTCCCTACCAATAGCCCTGAAGATCCACCTGAGCTCAGTCGCCCATGACAAGCTGGTGTCTCGGTTCGCTGGCTACCACTTCTACGACCGGGGCGAGATCCCGGTGAAGGGCAAGGGCACCATGAACACCTTCTTCCTGACTGGGAGGGACGGCTTCACCAAGGTCCTGCCCCCTGCTGACCAGGACGTCCCGGGGTCACCCACAGTCAAGTTCCCCATGCTGACTAGCATCCCAGACTATGGGACACACACACGAGAAGGAAGTCACGCCGCCCTACTCCCAAGTCTCGCCTACTGCGAGACTCACATGCGAACAGAAAGACACCCAGCTCTGAAACCCATGCCCATTGTGACGTCAACGCCTTGCAGAGACGTTTCTAGGGATGTTGAGGACAGTGGTTACCTTGGCAACAACACACCGAGGTCTCACGTGACATCAGATTCCGAGGAGTGTTCCACCATCGCGACAGTGCCCGGGAAATGTCTGAAGCTTCATCCCCATGAGTTGTTTGGATCTGCTTCACGTGTGAATAATTTAACAGAACCTGTGTGTCCTGCTCTTAACAGAGTGACGTCAGAGAATTATGAACCAGCAAACATTGCTTTACATGGGAACAGACTGTCCGAACAGACCCGTTGTCATGTCATGACGTCTGCGACAGGTGAAGAGCCCAGTGTCGACTGTCACGTTGACATGGCAGCAGAACCAACTCGTGGCACAAACATTTGCAGAGTGACGTCAGGTCTTCACGAACAGTCAGACTTTTCCACACATGTGAATAGATTGACAGAACCAACACATCCTACACATATCAACCGAGTGACATCAGATCCTAGGGAACTCTCCAACTCTATTGTCGCTCACGTTAACAGGGCGTACGAACACGATCATGACAAAGACTCAATTGTACGCTTCACCAAGAACTCGCTCATAAGAAGCGCCACCATCCCCCGGTGTAATGCCAGCAGGCCCAGTGTGTTGGTGCCCAACGGGACCCCCAGGAAAGACTTTAACTTCAGAGATGATAATCGCAATCGAAGGGTAACTCGAATTCTGGAGATTACGCCCTTATGACTAGCGGCCCCCGAGACGTTGGTTTGTGAGATTGAAGGGGAGAGAATCTAGCACGTGTGTCTGGAAGAAAGAGTCCAACCCGTGTGTCTGAAAGAGTGAATCTGGCATGTGTGTCTGCAACAGAGACTCCAGCACGTGTTTTGGATTTCTGTTGAGACAGACTCATCTGTTAGATGTCTGGCCAACGTTGAAGGGACCCGTTTCTTTGATTCAACTGTTATTATTGTTACGTGACATCAAGATTATGGATAAAGAATGAAAGTGATTGATGTGTGACTCATAACGGGGAAATATCTCCGGACTCAAGTGCCTGTACTTGGAGCTGCGTTGGTTGTGGATTGTGTGACAGTTCATTGATACCCCACTGACAGTGTGGACAAGTGTTCAAGATTATACGATCTGCTTCGATGCATCATTATTCGGTACCATCACTGATAGAACAGGGGAGGAATACTTTGATTTTGATGCGCCATCGGTCTGTGATGTGAACGTTTATAACCATGTTTGTACTAGGGAGTCATTTCCTTACAAATGTCTGATAGCTTTAATATCGTCTTGATAATAAAGATCATTTTAAAACAGCACATGAAAGAAACTCCGTTTCAGACCATCGAGGGGGGCTGTTGACTCACTGCGGTGGGTCCTGTGTCCAACAAGCGAAAGGGGACCTTGTAGGGACTTCACGTAGAACCAGTGAGTGAAACAAGGGACTGCCATAACAGTCAACACTGAAAGGGTTACAGTGACTTGGAGAATGCCTCCATCCAGGTTCCGAGTTTGCTGATCGCACTGTACACGTAACCCCATCGGAGACTCAGGTTTAGAACAGGTCCCCAGGGAGCTATGCTGGTCGTAAGGGGTCATGGTTGAGATGCTCTTGATCGGGGATTGGTTGATAGCGTGTTATCGTACCCCGATGGCATAGGAATTTGTTCACGATGTCAGTCCCTGGTTTGTCTGATTCAGACTCGATCATTACAGGTCGCCGTCATAATGCTGGAGTATTGTTGAGTGCGTTAAACAACAAATACACTTTAACTTCCGTAACTCCCACGCTACACACGTCCCAGGTGTCATACTAGAGGTGACACATGCTTGACCAGAGCGTCATCTGCCGCCATCATGGCCCTGGCGTCTAGTCACCCAACATCTACCAACTGGTTCTCTATACAGGTCCTGCCAACATTAATGTTTCACGGTGTCTGTTTTGGGTTACGGTATACCCTGGTGTTTACATATAGATACACACACGTCATGCAGAAACGACCAAGTGTATGTATATATTTTAGGCATAAAAAGGACATTTAGTTTCGCAAATCTCAGAAGGTCTCTTCCAGGGCATGTCTGGGCCAATATACATGTACATGGAGGCCAATCATATGGCAGTCCTCCATGCAGGTATATGTTGTGTCGGGTCTATACTTTAGCCTTATGTTAGGATGGATGTAAGATGTGCTGAGGTATATCTATGCTATTATTGACCTCTATTATGGTGCATGTGAGAACATGCCACCGTAGGTCTATGCTTTGGTAAGATAAAACTACGGCAGATCCGTGCACAAATAGGTACAAACCACGACAGGTGTATACTATGAATACATGACACTTTTGGATGGATGGCAACTTCTGAGAGCTTCTAGGGCTTCGGTCCTGCCCCACCCTGAAGCACATGTAACACGTGTGGCGTCTCCTTGGGCAAGTGACTTTGTTCGAACGTGCCTCAGTTCACCCAGCAGTGAATGGGTACCCGGTAGGATGAGGTGGCACTTGGGTTGCAGGGAGCTGAGAATGATTCTTGAGTGATCCAGTGACCGGGGTGATAATAGCGCTGAATGGTCTGGATATATGAGCGATATCAATAGCCTATTATTATAACTTCTTTTATTCTTTGTACGACGTTTCAGAGTTACTTCTTGCTCCTCCATCATTCACCCGATGAAGGAGCAAGAAGCAGATCTAAAACGTCGCAAAAAAAATAAAAGAAGTTAATATCCATAAATAGTGTCATGAATCCATGTTCTCCCAACTTCTAAATGCCTATAAAAAAACGTCAGGTCTGTACTATGATAGGCCTATAATATATGGAAGGTCTATGATATGGTAGGCCTATAATATATGGAAGGTCTATGATATGATAGGCCTATAATATATGGAAGATCTATGATATGGTAGGCCTATAATATATGGAAGGTCTATGATATGGTAGGCCTATAATATATGGAAGGTCTATGATATGGTAGGCCTATAATATATGGAAGGTCTATGATATGGTAGGCCTATAATACATGGAAGGTCTATGATATGGTAGGCCTATAATATATGGAAGGTCTATGATATGGTAGGTCTATAATATATGGAAGGTCTATGATATGGTAGGTCTATAATATATGGAAGGTCTATGATATGGTAGGCCTATAATATATGGAAGGTCTATGATATGGTAGGTCTATAATATATTGAAGGTCTATGATATGGTAGGCCTATAATATATGGAAGGTTTATGATATGGTAGGCCTATAATATATGGAAGGTGTATGATACGGTAGGCCTATAATATATGGAAGGTCTATGATATGGTAGGCCTATACTATATGGAAGGTCTATGATATGGTAGGTCTGTGGTCTGGACATATCTGTGTAAGCTATGGTACCTCTATACTGTTGTACATGTAGGTCTGTTCTACGGTAGGCCTATGCTATGAACATGTAGGTCTATTCTACGGTAGGCCTATGCTATGAACATGTAGGTCTATTCTACGGTAGGCCTATGCTATGAACATGTAGGTCTGTTCTACGGTAGGCCTATGCTATGAACATGTATGTCTACGCTGTGTTACGTCTCTGCGAAGCCCTGGTCCTTCCATCATATAACATGGGACATCCACGTCTTTAGCGTTTGATTTAGCAACCCTCCTGATAAATGTAACAATAAAAAAACCCGTCTACAATGGCCCCATAAATTCCGTGACCTGGGACGGCCGGTAGGGGGCGCCATGCGCCACCTGTACCCGCCATGACATTTATGGAGTCACGTGTCAACATAACACACGTGTGTTTACGTCACACCGATAAAGTGCCAGAGATTAACACTGTTTTTTCTCGTATTTATGACCAGGTTGTATAGGAAACATACTCAGCGCGTGCTGACGCTTGAACTCTTCCCCCTCGCAGCTGTACTTTCCCATGAGTCAGTGCGCGGCCCTGGTGGTAGAGTGTAAGTTTTAACAACACAGGGAGGACGTTACTTCCGTCTACGTTATTTTCAAATTTGTTGACACCATGAACGGTAGTTTTCATTAGCGATATTTTTTTTATGTATAAGTACGACGGGAGGTAATGGTTAAAGACGTACTAGGTTACAGACTGGTCCGGGCCTAGTTCCACAATGCAGACTTAGCGCTACGATAGTCGTAAGCCCGTTAAGGTATGGGAGGTACAATCATCTCGGCGCTAAGATCGCTTTGTGGAACGGGACCCAATTGTGATCAATTGAACGTTTGTCTTGAGTAATGATAAGCGGCTTAAGATATCGATCAAGTTGAAGATGGAAAAGTTCGTCAAAGATGGCGACTGCCACTCCTTAACTCTTCTACATATGGCGAGGGAAATGTTTTGTATTAACCCTATATTGTTAAAACTTACAATATCTTATTCCCGTCGAGTGGTCCTCTTCACGGTGACCAAGGTTAGCTGGGTGATAACATCCTCCGATATAACGCTGCCTATGTACCACCGATACTGTAGCTCCCCGTTATTAGACCATTGAAATATTGAGATGTGTGGTGTGCAATCTTTCATAACAAGTTTTCAATTAAAATACTACCCACGTGGGTGGGTGATTTGGTGGTTGGGCGGGAGGGCGGGCGAACGAGAGTGTGAATGAGTGAGATATAGTTAGTAAAGGCATAGGTATACAAGCTGGTCTTTAACAGTAGTACTCATTCATACCCAACTTGTTCACTTTACACACCTATTTCATTACGATGACTAATTTGTCTATTCATCAGGAAACACAGATATTATGTATGGAAGTCAGGTGATAGGAACATTATATCACGGTGTCTCATTAGCAGTGACCTACATCGATCACAAAACAATTACATACGGGAAATCTCCCCAAATCATTATATACCGTACATATCCACAGAATTATTTGAATCCAGGACCCGTGAAGATCCGGGGTAGAATAGGTCTTCAGCAACCAATGCTTGCCGTAAAAGGCGACTATGCTTGTCGTAAGAGGCGACTGGCGGGATCGGGTGGTCAGTCTCGCTGACTTTGTTGATGCATGTCATCGTATCCCAATTGCGTGGATCGATGCTCATGACATCAATCATTGGATTGTCTGGTCCAGACTCGATTATTTACAGACCGCCGTCATATATCGGGAATATTGCTGAGAGTGGCGTTAAACAACAAACAAACAAATAAACAAACATTAGAGTCCAGAGAGTCCCTGGCGCGTCAGGACAACACTGTTTTGGCAGCTAGTGGGGTGCAGACCTGATTGATGTGAGCCGTGGCAATTGACGTGTAGATTTGTTCACAATGAACACCTAACTCAATTAAGGATTGACTGTGAATTTTTTCGGTAATTAAATTTGACAACGAAAACGTGCACGTGTTATCAACAACAGTTTAACCAAAAACATTTCTATATGTCAAAGCAGAGAGGAATGTCGACATTGGTCAACATTCCAGGTGTAGTAGCGGATTTTTACAAAAGTTTGCACATCGGTTTTTCGATTCATACACTGAACCAAAGAAAATGCACAGACAATGCTTATGATTAATTTCGACAATGAAAACATGTTCCATCTACATGTACAATAGTTAATAACCAAAAATACTTGTATATATGAAAGCAGACAAAAATGACGAGATTGATAAACATTTCAGATGTAGGAATACATTCTGTGGCGTGACATGAATCAGGTGATTGTTTAATTTATGCACGCCTACAAAGTCAGTAGCCAATCAACGGAGAGGGAGATCAAAACAACGTTGATATGACCTGTCAATCAAGCCAAGAGGAGAGAAGAACTGAAACAGTCAGACTGTAACGAACCGGAACAAGTATGTCCAGGAGAAGGCGGCTGTTACAAATGACATGGTCAGTTATCTCCAGAGTTAAACATGGGGTCCCTGAGAACGGGAAGTCACAGTTGGAAAAATGCTAGTTAGAAATGAAACCCGAAGACATGAAATTTGTGGAACCCACCCTATGAAACTTTAATACCAAGCAGTCCCATGCTTGAATTGTGTTGTGCATGAAGCTTGTACTTGTATAGAATGTTTAAATAACTTGTTGATTCACGAAGTTCAAGATGACCTGTGAAAGCGGACGGACAGACGGACGACAGGTAGAATTCGAGTTCATGTTATGGGTCTTTCGCCTCAATACGAAGTTATATATTTTCATTTCAGATATTCAGATTTGAATAGATCCAGCGAAACGTTTGAAATTGAAACGATCGCATTTGTAACAAAATGACATATTCATACAAATAACAGACGATTCACGCACTTTTATAAATGACATGGCTTCAAGTTTTAACATTTATGGAAGGTTATGATTGAA